ACAACGTCTTGCTTAAATCGTTTTAATGGATAATAAAGATTTTTATTGAAGGTTTTCTTATATATATGATATTTCCTCGATTTTTTTATAAAATAAAGCTTTGCTTTAAGTTTTATTGCATATTTATTTTAGGCAAGGTTGGAGCAAGTGTATTTATGTATCTAAGTGGTTCATAAAACGTGGCCAAAATTGTTTAAAATTAAATGCCTATTATTCGACCAAAGGTTTTTTTTGTTAATGATTGTTTATATTTGGTTATACACAAAAGATAAAAGACCTAATTGTTTATGGATGTTTATGTTTATGCTTATGTCTGAAAAATGTTGAAACTATGCGAAAAGTAATTACAGATATAAAGCTAATTAAAAAATTAGATTTAATGACTTTGAATTAGCTTTGACAAAGGATGTTTAACATTTGGCCATATATAATAAATACATATTTATTTGCAGTTGGTGAATTAATTCTTGTCAAAAGGAAGACAATTATTAATTGTTTGTGGATTTAATAACCTACTTTGGGATTTTAAATCACGTTTAGATTAGAAAGCCATATGATGCAGAAATTCCTTGGAATCCTTGACTTTCGGTTTTGATAATTGAATTTGGTATTCGGCATTTGCCAGACCGATTGCAAAACCCATCCATTATGATGGCCGTTACAATTTCCCGGCCGAATTCCCATGCCACTGACCAGTTGACACAAATTGCGGGCGTTAATTTCACCATTAGCCGGGGGCCAAACGGAAACGATGGCCGACAGTTTGTCAACATCGATTTGTCCTTGATTTTCTATGCAAATTTTCCCCCATCGATAACGGCTATAATCAATATAGCACACAGCCTGTTGTCTTGGCCAACGGGAAAACAGAAAAACAGGGCAAATAGAGCAAAAAAAAAAAAAAAAAAAAACAGAAAATGGATGTCAATGATTGATTGAACTTGTCACCAAGTGGCTGTTATCAACGCTTTCATATTGCTATTTAATTACAAAACTTTTCAACTGAGTTGAGGTTTAGACAAGTCTGTGGTCTCTGGCAATTAATGCATATATGTAGAAACGTGGAGCTGTAAGGAAATTCTCCTGGCGTGTTTAATAATCTCAGATAAGTGAAAGGCAAGAATAGGAGCTTTGAAATAAGTACAAATCGAAATATTACGTATACGCACAATTGCACACGCATACAAACACACACAGCACGACCAGGAATATTGATAACTTTTTAAACCATGGGACAGAGATACCCTTTCAAAATTGAATAAAATATTTGTACACGTTTGACCCCCAATTTTTTACATTTTAAGAGGTAAAGCAGATGTCGATTTAAATATAATGTATACGCTATTTATACACACACAACACCGGGACTAATACGAAATAGATTTGACTATGCTTGTCTACTAAATTTGTTTTAAGCTAAAAAACCTTTTTTATTTATATTTTTATATTGACTAAACAAATGAATTTTAAGGGCTCCTGAAACTTATCTTCATTGCTTCATTTTTACAAATTAATGTTCAGATGTTCATCAATTTAAATTAAGCGTCTTCCCGCCCCGAAAACCCTATTAAAATTTCACCCCAAAACGGGTTTGCCAGAGTCCATAAACCCAGGAATAAAAGCTTAGCATTCCGTGGAGGGTATTTTATGTTTAAGTCACCCCCGTCATGTTGACAAAGATTATGTGACAATAAGCTTAGATAATTCATTTGCTACGAGGAGCACATAAAGCAGCCTCACCAGCACACACATATCCAAGGGGGAAATTTGGCGGGGAAAGCGGGGAAAAGCGGTGAAGACGGGGCGGAAACTGTGGGGGGAAATGGGCACTGAACAGAAGCAGCTGTCAATTGTGTAAATATTTTGTGGCAAAAGTACAAATAGAAATGCTGTCGATAAATCGAAGCACATGACTAGCCTTGCATTAACAGCTGCGACTTGTATAGATGTAAAACGGGGGAGAAAGAGGCTGAAAGGGGGTCAAAGTAGGGGTGCTTACTTGAGGGGGAGCTGTCAATTACATTTCAATCATTTGGAGTTCGTGCCGCCTGGGAATGGGTGCAAATGAACCATCAAAATGGCGAGTGTCTCATCAGTAAAATAGTTTAAAATGAGTACAGAATTTGGGTGGTAATGGGTGGGTAATGAGCAAGTAATAAGTGAATATTGAGAAATAGAGTTTAATATAGGACAAAGAGTGAAGAATAAATATGAAGGCTTTAGTTCTAGAAATCGAAACATTTTTGGAAAGTGAGTATATAAAATTTAATATAATAGGTAACAGAGTGGGTAATGATAATTCCAAAAAACTCACAAAGAAACACTAAATGAGACTATTTGAACAAGCGTTTCAAAGAAAACAAGGAAATTTCACGAAAGCAATACAACCGATAGCAATGTGATTACTTTATTGATATCGATATTATAATAAAGATGTAACTGCTATTACCTAAACGTAAACATTTTCTAGAAAATCCCAAACATAAATTATTTGCTACACTGTCAATTAGAAAATTCTGCAACAGACAAGCAATCCTTTGACCTTTTTTGAAACCCTTGACTGATTGCCATACTTCGCCACAAAGTAGAATGGGTGGTAGAGAGTAACTCACTTGGAAAGCATTTTCATCCAACTGCAAATAAGCATATAGCTCGTCGGGAATATTTGCCTTGCAAATGTGACTCATAAAAGCCAAGAAATGCACGCACATAGAAGTTCTTTGGATCGAACATTTCTATTTTTTCCATTTAAATGTAAATTGGAGACACATGTGTCATTCTGGCATTTTCGCAGCAGACATTGGTTTTTCTCAGATTTGTCTTAATTTGCCAATCAGTTTGAACGACTGTTCGAAATTCTTCGTTATTTTAAGCGACACGAATGCAAATCCCTCAATATTTTGCTGCAGCCAGGATGATATATGCTCTGACAATCAATGTCTATATCTTAGGTCATAAAACCAAATCTAATCGTTAATCTTATCGTTAAGATTTTTGTAGACTCTTTCTTTTCTAAATAAGGTAAATAAATTCCGATGGACTTCCCAGTCGCAATGTCGCCGGAGGGATAGTCATACGTCAATCAGATTTTGATCGAACTACAGTGGACACCCGGTTATGTCACACGGTCGGCTAGGCTAAACTTGCACACTTCAGCCGATTTGATTCCCCGGGTGTTATCTTCCGTGTGAATTGTATATATATATTTTTTTTTTTGGGCTTGTAGAGCTCTTGTCCCCGAAATACCTACTTCAGGCCTTAAGTCGTCGGGTCTCTATCGCATTTGGGGCTTATCTTATCGACTGGCCAGCTACCACCCCCATCCACCCATCCAAGCACCTATCCACCGATCCATTATGAAACATTTCGCATTTCTGTTTCGTGATTAATTTTAAATAAAATAGCCGCTGCAATGTAATGGTGGATTTAAAAATAAGCCAAGCCAATCAGCAAGTGAAATATTTGAAAAAGGCGAGCTGAGCACACACGGGACGCTAAAAGTGTTCATCTATAATGCATGTAAAAGCATTTTGGTTTAAAAAAAAAATTCGTATAGATTTTACATGTTAATAGTTTGCCAAAGAACATATATGTTGTAATTTCCTATTATTATTTTTTTTTGCAATTTACTTTCACGTTTTTTTAAAATTAAATTTGTATGAGAATTTGTAGAGCCAATCTTTTTTCTGGGCCAACTTTCAGCAGACACTGTGTTGCATCAAACAACATCAGCATCTTCATCATCGAATGGCAGACATTGCTGCAGATGCATTTCCCGGATAGGCCTTCGGGAGGGGCGGTGATGGGTCTCTTGTTGCAAGAGGGGCGTGGCAGCGGACTGCCCCAAGTGCCCCTCAACGAGTGGCATTCGAGTGAATCCGTTCGAATGAGCAGTATATATTCGGGCAATTAAAATCGAGTCTGGCATTTGGCCCACAGGCCGAAGAGCGTTAATATTGATGAACTGCTAGATGGCATAAATGCTTAATTAAACGGCCTAGGACGGACAAAAGGACTTGATAAAAGGAATTTTGAGGATGCTTTAAGGGAATTAAACGAAATTAATTACTGCCATTGCAATACCCTCCTAAAGCTTACAATACATTTGTATGAGACAGGTCACGGACTTTAATGCCAAAAAATGTATAAACGGTCTGTTGTAAACTAAATAACATACACTTTATCGAAGAATCACAAATAAAGGCCATTAATTATTATTGACCACCGTAAAATGATACCAACAACCTTAAATAACACAGAATTACCCTTTCTAAACTCCATACTCATTCACCTTGCAACCCTTTGCAACCTAAGAAAATCGCTGCATTTAATTATACAAAATTGTGGAATGGTAAACTATGCTTAATTAATTGCCGAGTTTCTGTGAAAATTTGCAGCTGAAACAAATCCGATGAAATGCATTTATTATTCTCAATCCACAAAAAATTACGCTCAACAAGTTTTGGCTTTGTGTTAGCTTTGTATAAAAGGGGAAAATGTTGTGAATCAAAACGAGCATCCCTAAAAAGTCAAACCGTATTTAAATACGCATTCAATTCCGGGAATGTTGTGGCCGATATCCAATGCCCCAAAGGCATTTATACAGCTGTGTTTAAAATAATAGAGCTATAACAGAAGTAGAAATTTGGGTTTTACCATCTCTATTGAGCTAATCTCTCAAATATTATAATAATTGATACAAATTTTCCAATTTGGTAACACTGCTTTAAAGACTGTGTAATTTGTAATGTTTTTTCTGTTACATAGTCAGACAAATAATATTGAAAATATTTGCTTGTATTATTATTTTGAACACAGTTGTATTTACTTGAGAAAAAATTTGAACCACAAATCGAATCAAGTGCAGTCGACTGAAAAATAATATGCGATTCAAGGGGGTGTATATATTATATGGGTTCTTTTTGGGGAGACAAAAAGTATGCGGCAATGGGGCAAGATTGTTTTTCGTATGAAATATTAATTAAATAATTCCTGGTTACCTTTGGGGGGCGGTGGGTCCTGTTTCCTCTGGATCCTGCGGTGATGGTTCCTTAATATATTTTTTTTGCTTTTTGTTTTTTTTTTTTTTTTTTTTTTATTTTGGTTTTTTCCGGGGGGGACTGGGCTGTAAGCCCACCGACCTGACTTACGGCACAATTTGTTTTAATTGCTTTTTAGCCTTAGCTTTTTTCTCCCGTTTCTCTTGAATTTCTGGAGGTTTTATGTATTTATCTCTGCTTCTGTGGAAATTAACGCGCTATACAAACAAAAGGGAAATTCAACATTTTCAATATTTTTACACCTTTGTGACTTTTTGTGTTTTTGCGTGCTTTTTTCTTATTTTTTTTGATGAAAAACAGTTTTGTCTCGTGCGCCGTTTGGCTTTTGGTTTATTTTTATCGTTCCGTTCGTTTCAGGGCCCCAAAACACAAAAAAAAAGAAAATAAATAAAATACGGGAGCGGGCAAAAGGAGCGGCATATTCATCCACTCGACTGCTCAGTTTTATAAATAAGTTTTGTGTTTTCGGTTTTGTGTTCGCCGCTATATTGTTGCCAGCGAAATGAATTTTAAGCCCAGCTAACATGATGATTATGTGACCCCCGTCCATCCTTAAAGAATATTTTTGCGCGATCCGAGATACCATGTAGCGATTGGACATAGCATTTACCAAATACCCATTTCTTTAGGGACTGCACTAGGGAATGCGTTAATTATGCGACACGAGCACTTAGCCAACAGACTCACAAGAATTTAAGTTTTGATGATTTCGTCTCGCTGTCGGGAATGCGTTTGTTTTTTATATATTTCATTAATTTTTTCATTTTGCTAGGGGCATCTTGGCTTTTTTACTGGATTAGCATACAACTTTCTATTTCATAATTTATTAGCGAGTTTGCAAAGGAAATTGCTTCATTTCTATATATATATATGATATATATATTCACAAAATATTCTTTTAAGTCTATTAATTTAATTTATTTGCTTAAAATTTAAAATGCTTTTAAGCAATAACAAAAAACTATTATTTTTATAATTGATTGGTCTGCTTAACATTTTATTTTAGCTGTCCTAAATTATTTCATAAAAATTTAGAGATATGCAGCATTTTATAAATTAAATAATTATTTGGTATTAATTGCAAGCTTTAAAAAAATCCAGAAAATATTTTTTAAACCTATTATATTTCATTTGGCAGTTATTAATAATAATAAAAAAATACCATCCTTAATAATTTTTTTTTTTAATTTGAACTGAATTCAAACTAAATAATTCTTTTTCTTTCCGTTTTATAAACATAAACTAATAGATTAGGACGAAACTAAAGTACCCAGAAAACAAAGGAGCACTCCAACTTCGTTAAATTGCAGGTGTCGCATTTAGTTTTCTAATTTTCTTCGTCTGGGGGCAGAAAGACACATTTTTAAATTGTTTAGCCAGCCGCACAGCAGAAAAGTTCGTCAAAATGTGTTAATTTTCGTAGCCCATTGTGTGACTCTGTTGTTGTCATTTGCCATCGGGGGGCTTTCTATATGGGCGACGACTAATAATTTTGATTGCTGCCAAAAATTCTTAGACAGACGGCCGCATTTCGTATTTCGTTGGCTGACTAAGTGAGGGCAAAGTAAGTGAAAAATAATAAAAACAAAATAATAATAAAAAGAGCCATATAGAAGCAAGACACAGAAGCCACCAGAACTTGACGACATAGTGACTATATGTTTCACCCCCCACCATTACCACTTACCCCACAGATTTTGGTATCCGGGTCTAGAATCGACACATTTTTATAAACTTTATGCGTTTATTACGCTAATTGTTGTTGGCTGGTGTGGCGAACGATAGCAAGTGATATGAAAACTTGGACTAGTTTTTTGTTAGCCTTTTGTTTGCTTTTTAGCAATTGTGATTTGTTTGAGTCATCCGAAAGTTTTGGTCGAACTTTATTGGGAACAAATAACCCAGCTCAAGTTTAACCCTCTTTGACTGCATGTGTTTCGTTTGACAATCTGTACTAAGCTAATAAGCAATTTAGAAGACAAGATACGAAATAAGCTGTAGAAATTAAAATAGCAATTGCTGGAAAAATTAAAGCCGCCGCAAACATAGATAAATGCAGTTTATTGCATGGAAAGAAATTTCTTTGAAATAGGTTGTAAACATATTCAGAGTTTTATACTGAGGTTTTAGCACAATTCACTAACAACATATAGAACATTTAATATTCCATTTTTATTCTTGCTAACTTAAAGTTTCTAAGGACAAACATCATTACTAGGGCTTAATAAAAAACTACGGAGCTTTAGTGTTTTCCTACAAATTTGTAAGCCAGTGTTTGTATTTATATGTTGAGCGATTAGCTTTTCTTCGCCGTGCACTTTGATCTCAAGATTTCTTTTCGGAGAACTGCCTTTAAAGCAGCATCATTAATCACCTGCCACTTCTTTTTGTTTTTAAGCAACAAATACTCATGGCCCGCCGATTAATCAGCGAATCGCTTATAGGAAACAGATGATAACAATCTATAAAAGCGATTAGTTTTTGTTTTTTTAATTTTTTTAATATATTTTCTTTGGTACTATATATGGCATTTTGTCATTTGGTTATTCTTGATCTGGCTTTGACAAACTCGACGCCCCCGATTTATTTATCTACCTTTTATGGCTTTTGTGCTGTTTTGTGCCCTGCAACAAGTATTCTGGTTTAGTTTTAGTCCGGGTCTCAAGAGTTCCTCTACGGCGATCACTTCACTTCACTTAACAGTTGTGCACTTTGATTTGCTTTTCTTTTGTAGTAGTATAGCTTTATTTTTGTGACTTTTTGATTTTCAATTCTGCTCGAGCACTTTTGCACACACGAAGAAAAAAGTAACACTTGGAAAAAAAAACGTTGTGCTGAAAGAGGGAAACGCACTTGGGACACACGTGCTGATGCTGATGTTGATGTTGCTGCTGCTGTGACGTTGATGTAGCTGTTGCCGCTGTGATGTTGCTGCTGCCGCTGCCGCTGTGCTGTTGCTGCTGCTCAGAGGTCTGATTTGCAACTGGCAGGGCGATGCGATAAGCCGCTTCCGACTCGCAATCGGTGGTTGCCTCGGCTGCGACACGAACCACCTAAGCCCAACCACCGCACCATCTAACCACCTTAACATCAAGTGCCGAGTGGTTCGAATCGAACATGTTGCGGGCCGGGAAACATAACCAATCCGGTGGCCAAAATTGGCAGGCAATGTGCAAAGGCAATCAAATAAATAAAAAAAAGGAAGGGCTAACTGGACAGTGGTACCAAAAATAAAAATTAAAAAAATATTAATTTAATACTAAATAATACAACCCCTATACGTTTTGTTTATTTTCTATACCGAAGAGTCTTAAACTATAGTCTAAGGCCTTAGTTTTAAACCACATACGTTTTAGTTTCATACTTTCAATAGTTTAGTTTCTATGAAAAATATTTTTTTTTGGAAGTAGCTACAACTCTGGTTCTATATTAATATAATAAATAACAACAATTAGTTTTGATTTTATCAAAAATGACACAACTCAATTAGCGGAGTTCAGTTTTATTGATTTATATATTTTTAAGCGTAATTTTTTAATTATTGAAAAAAAATTTTCTGAATTATTATGAGAGTGTGTGGTAACACTTTCATCACATTATTTGAATAATTAATTTGTTCTTGTATTACAAATTTTATGAAGTACTATTATTATGAAGTTCAAAATGGGGGTTTATCAATGATAAATATTGTCTTCCCGTAAATACCAACACAAATAAGTATTATTGTTTTGAATTGCATTTTGCATCATAAGCAAATGTCTCTTGCGACACTACGCCTGTTCAAATATCCCGGGAACGAGCCAACATGTTGTCGGCTAGTTGCCGATGAACTGGGCTAACATGTTGGCCAGCTGGGCTTTAAAAACTCTCGGAAAACTGGGCAAACAAAGGCTACAAATGCGGCAGAAACTGCAGTTGGAACTGCAAATGGTGATGGGACGACTCTCATGGTGATGGAAGAAATGCTTTCAGAGGAGTTTCCCCACGGGCATCGGCAGACAACTATGGGCACAGTTTCGGTGTGTTTCAGAAGCTGGGCAACGCGGCGTATGATTAACGAAATTAGCAAACATTTATCAGCCACTGCAGGGAATCCGAAATCTGGCACACGAGTTAGAAATGGAAAGTTGTCACACCTTCTGGCACACATACTTCCTTTTTGAATTCTTCGCCAGTACTACCCCTTTCCACAATTTCACAATTCCACCTTCCATTAAGTAAATTTTGTTTCAGAATTCGAAATTGTTTGCCTCCTTTGTTGGCTCTTGTTCTTTTCTTTTCATTTCTTTTATTTCCATTTCGATTGGGTTTGTGCAAGTGTTTCACTTTGTTTAATGTCAATTAACTTGGCCAGTTGGGCAAAGTTTCGTAACGAACTTAACTTAACGCAACCGATTATGCAAGATTATAATGATGTTTTACATACAAATGAAATTAAAATGAATGAAAAAACCGCAATTAATGTTATTTATTTTTATGTTGGCAATTTTAGTTTTAATATTGTAAAATTACAAAATCATTTTTTAACTTACAAATTTTTTGTATTCTTTCATAAAATCATCTTGATTTCTTTATTAATGAAAAAAACTTAAAGTAAAGACGGAATTGTTTAAAATCAATAAAACCTTTTCATTAGATAACAGCCTTAAAACAAAAAGAAATGAAAACTAAGCAGCAAACATTCGATAAAGGTCTATATCTTTCGATTTAAACGTGGATCTGTTTTATATGCATAACTTGTCTCATTCGTCTCATCTTCATCGATTGCAATTGCGCTCCATTTGATTGGCTTTGTTATATTCCATCCGAAAAGTGGACTGCTTCTCCTGCGATGCCTTGTTTTTGCTGCCACAGCAAAAAAAACATTTTTCTTGATTATAATTGCTTATATGCATCTTCTTAAAAGCTCATATTTAACATAAGTAAATGCGGTGGATGGGGTTAGAGAATGCCAGTTAAATTGATTGAAAATGTAGAGAAAGGACCTTTAAGCCCTGACTCCCCTTATTTGCCAGCATTATCCCTTGCCGCCCTCAATTATTGACGGACTGACATGCGGGAAAACAGGGGAAAAAGCCGCAAAAATTCAGAGCAGAGCTGGCCAGTCCCTAATGAACACTGGTCAGAACTCATTAGGACTGAACGCTTTCTCTAGAATAAATTTCTCTCTATTTAAGCACCATTTACTTGGTGTTCAATGCTTGTATTTAAAATTTGTTTTGCAATTTTTGTTTCTTGTTTGCGTATACCTAAAATGATTTTTATACATTTATTATAAAGTCTAATAATAAACATTGCTTTCTTATTTAATTACTAGGCTTAATACACATTTGTATAGAAAACATTTCGACGAAACACAACATTTGTAAAACAAAACATTTTGAACAAAATCTTTTTTTGTTTACAATTTGGTTATAAAGTATAAACCTCTATTGGGAAGTAAGTCGGTGCTTATGGATAATGTAAAATGCACATTACAAGCCCATATAAATCTGGTTTACCCACTTGTGGCAACCTTATTTTAACTTTCTCTACTTACTTTACGATTCATCTACTGCATTACGGATATAAAAATACAGTCAAAACATTGAAAACTCACCTGAAAAGAGAGGAAAGAAGATGAAATAATGGTTATTAATTCAATTGGCTTGGATACCAAGAAATTCTAATGGAATACGAAAAATATTTGCTCGACTTTTAGACTTCATTACGTATGTAAAGTGAGGACAAACAAATAACAGTTGCAGATAATTGAGTCATGAATGCGAGTATATGTATATAATAATATGCCTGACTTGCACTTGCATATTTTAAGTTTTTACAAATTTAAACGTGTGTTCACAACTCTTACAATTTATTATTCCTGTTAATATTTCCCGCCTTGCCAATAACCTT